ACCCATAAACATCCTAACATTATCAGTCACTGTGAAATACTCCCACTGATGGGCTAATTGGCAGCCTTTGCTTACCACGGCTCTTGTCCCCTATAGGTAGCTACAAAAATAATGATGTATCAATAACCCGATATATCAACTACATCCCTCAGCATCCCTCAGCAATTACCAACCAGTCCAACCAAGATCATCAATTTGAATGCTAAATTATCCATGGCTATTTGACAACTACGCAACCCTCCCTCCCCATTTCTCCTACATTATTTCTGCCCAGCAGTGGGTGCCAGCCAGCTATGATGATTCCCCTGCAATCCACGAATAGTGTTCACCGCTACCACCGTCACCCCAAACCTAACCCTGAATCCAATAACGTCCCCCCCCTGCAGAAATATACGCAGACACTCAGCAGTGGCTCCCAGACACAGACACATAATTTGCGCAAATCGATACACATTTATATGAACAAATCCCAATCTACACCAGAACCTTTTCCCGAATACTAAAGGTGCTCAAGCCGGACAAATGCAAACGTGATATGGACATCTGCAGTCACATCATGAGTTGGGTCGCCAAATTGGCTCATTACCACCGTTGACCGCCTTCTCCTCTTCCTCCCCTTCCCATCACACACCCTGTATGCCCCTCTGCCACCAGTGATAGAAGGCCCCATTCTGCATCTTCTGGTATAAAAAAAAAAATTCAAGATTTGGTGTGGAAATGGATAGATTTAGGAATGTCTTAGTCTATAGCAACAAGGGGTGGATTCTACGGCTAACCCTCCCCTCCCCGCCAATGTGCCTTATTGCTCTGGCCGCTGAGCTGCAGGTGAGTAATCAGATGGTGTCTTACTTGCCAATCTCTTCATACAGCTGGTATTCATCTGTAAAGCGTGTGCAGGTTACAGCCATGTCTGCATGGGATCCGGGCTCTGCAGTGCTTATTGGTTCTAGCAAGGAAGAGACCTCCTTAGTCTTCTTTTCGGTCAGAGAACGGCAGGGGCGTTCGGCTTTGGCGAGATCTGTCTTATTTGCCCCCCTTCTAGTCCTGTTATTTGCTCTTTCCTGTCTGCCCCTCCAGTAGGGTTCTCTGCGTCTTTTT